GTGGGGGGTGGGGGTGGGGGGGTGGGGGGTGCATAATGAAGAGAATAGGTTTGCCTTCTGGTGAATACTGGTAGACTGGTAATAAATTCGAGTTTTAAAAGTTCATACGAAGAATTGATAGGCAGGCAGAACGAGAAACCGGTTCAATTGGAAAGAAATTTTCTTCAGCGGAAGCAATTTCCCGGCACCACGCGTGCTCGCTGATGAAGGTGAGTAATAATAAGCAAATAATAACCAACCCAATAATGAAAGGCGAGCGCACGACTGAGGACGTGAAAGGATTCGGTCTCGATCGGTCCAGGGGTGCAGGTGACGAGGACATCGAGGCCGCCGAGAGCTCGGCCGAGCTTTTTCCCAAGGACCCGCACTTTCTCCCTGTCCGAGAGGTCGCAGACGTACCCGAGAGCCGGAGACGACGATACTCGCCTCTCTTCCTTCCTGTGGGCCGGTTCCAGTCTCCGAGCGCCCCGATGTTTCTCGCGAAGCTGCTCGGCGAGCTCCTCCACGTTGCTCCCGGGTCCGTCCACCAGGTAGACCGAGCAGCCACTACTGGCGAACTCCTCTGCTAAGCAGCGGCCGAGGCTCGTCGTCGCACCCGTTACCTGCCGAGCACACCGATAATCCCTATTGATACGTCGTTCGTTAGCCTACTAACTTTCTCTGGCTACTCCTTACAGCCGACAAATTGCAACGAGAAACTTACCGACAGCGGGTGCTTAGGCTTCCCTGACGGACAATGGCTATGTACTGGCTCATTGTCCATAGCCTACCTGGAGATTTTTGGATTCGTCAACTGCAGTATCCCACAGTGACCATAGTCTTTAAAAAAACCTGTCCTTTTTTACATATCATTTAATGCTCGAGATGTACGTTCCAAGTGAAAAAAAAAAAAAAAAAAAAAAAAAAACATGCAATAAAAATATATCTATTAAGAGATATGGAAAATTAAATAGACGTATTTCATATGCTGGAGTCTGTATAATGGAATAGAAAGCTTTTTAAAGAAAAAAAACTTCTTAAAAATACATCTCAACGATATGTAAACAATCGATGTTTATGCACATGAGTATCTGTTAAAGGACAAGATGTATGTGTATATATATATATGTATGCAATATAGCTTGTTTATTAAAGTTGGAAACAATTTTTTCCTGATTTATCAAAGTGAAGGTATTTTTTTCTTTAGTATTAAATTATGACTTTTCTTACGTAAATTTTAGGTATATAATAGTATATTGGATAAGACCGAGTGAAATTGTTTGGGATGTAATTATCAAGTATTTTTCATAAAAAAAGCAATTGATTTAGTAGATTATTTGAATATTTTACCAAAACATATTGATTGTGCATTATATTTAAATTAAATTTCAATAAAATCATAAATATATTTTATCATTAAATAAATTACTACACGTGTTAACAATTTTCAAAACTTATTTTCATATAATCTAATAGGCGATAGATTTTAAAACATTTTTGTATTATATTTTTTCAAATATTGTGTAAAAAATCTTACGCAAATAACATTATTATGTTAAAAACTATTATTACAATATCAATGTTTGAAATGAAATGGACCGGCTAATATGTAATTAAGGATCTGTGCCATACGTAATTTCGTCTTACTCACAATAGGTAATTTAATAAATTCCAACGACCATTAACAACGTCACTTATAAAATTGTCCATTATTTAAAATAAAAAGGAAAAATTGGATGAACATAGTAATTTACCAGTACAATATTGCCGGTCAAATCTCGTGGAGGTTTCGGTAGGAACGACTTAACGATTCCAAGGAAGACAAGAAATCCAGAAAGTCCGAGTCCTAAAAGTATTTCAATGTTGAGGTACACCCAGCCAAGAAATGATGGATTGCTGGACCTCGACCATGATATTACAGATTCAGTTCTTATAGACAACATCGTCTTCTGTAACAATGTAAAACATCAGATTTACTAAATTTACTACTTCTTTTCTGTATAATTATAATCGGAATAATAATTATAATGTAGTATATGATATCTTCCCTTTTCTACTGCGTACAATTGTACTAATAATACTTTTGCCAAGATTTGCATAGTTAATCAGCCTCATTGTTAAAAGAAATAATCGATAGAGTGTACTTCAATTAATTATTAATTAATTTCTAAACGAAATCATTATTAAATAATAATATTTATCTCATGTTTTTCAACTATATTTAGATGCGCGATTAGCACGTCTACGAACAGTCTCGCAACGACTAATCATTTCGTTAAATTTAAACTCTGTTTCTAAAAGCGGAAAAACATCAGCAGACAAAAGTCCATTTTGTCCATTAATAGCCATGAATTAAAGCTCTATTAGAAATAGGTGGTCTGACACTACAGGCATTTCGTAAAGTCTTACGGAAATAAGGGGCCGCGAGGGTCATGTGGGTGCGACAGAGCATGTCAAGTGTTATTCAACGCTTGGTAATTATATAAGCGATACATCATTTGCGCATGTGAGTTTTTGTACTTTAAGTACCTACGTGTATATGATAATTAATGTACGGCAGCGCGGTACGGAGATCTACAAGAGAGAGAGAGAGAGAGAGAGAGAGAGAGAGAGAGCTAATAATAATAATACTGGTATTTGTCAATATGAATAATTTGTATTTTAATTTTAAATTATTCAACCGATAATTGAAATTTTTTAATTATGTATTCACGAAAATTATCTACTAATTATTATAAATGTTTAACATGTTGGTAATTGCAATTAGTCTTAGTAAAAACTGCGAATCTTTGTTTGATAAAATAGATAAAGTATAATGTGTAACAATGCCAACTCATGATAACAAATTATAAATATCTATTAAATTTCATAAGAAACTTTACTTTTTTCATAACTTTAAATAGCATTGAAAGTAGTTAACAAAATTTAATTTTTCAACAAATTTAAAAACAAAAAATCAAATCTTAAATATATAATTTTTATAATTACCGCAGATATGCATATTACACAAAAAATGGATTTCTTCTAAAATTTATTTAAAAATTCTAATATTCATTTGTTATTTATAATATATATATATATATATATATATATATATATAAGTGGTAAAATGTTTAAAGTGAAAAATAAACAATCAAAATACGGTAAGTGGTAATTAACAATAAATATAACGTAATGTAACGATAAACGTATAAAATGTATTTATTTACTACGTGTCTTCTGAATAAGAAATATCCTTTCATGCTATAGAATATGAAATATTATATTAGGAAAATAACACATAATAAATTCGTGTACTTGCGAACGATTCTGCAATATGTGCACAATCGAGAAAATAAGTAGAGAACATAAAATGTTTCTCAATTTGACTAATTCACGAAACGTCATTAATTGACTTTCGAAACTGTTAACTACGCTTAGAAACAAAACTCGTGCACCACAGTGTACATATTGGAATAAAAAATCTCAAGTGCAAACCTAGTCACCTAGTGTTTAAAAGTTTCGCACTAATTTCTAGTTAAAATTCTGGTTGAGTCTTGTATTCTGCAAATTCTTCGATGCTTCAAACTCTCATAATGCCAGATCCACTCGAGAAGTGTAAAATTGACATGTAAATATCTTTAACCGAGCGTGTGACGGTTCCCAGCGGCTCCCTCACATGTATTATAATCTCCGTTCCGGCTTAATATGCTATCCTCGTCATTAGATAATTAATCAACTAAGTTTTACGTGATGTTAAATGTTCGATGAACGAACGATTAGAAATAAATATTTACCAAGCTAAATTGGCTATTTTGTTAATATATATACATTTAAAAGGCTATATGCCCTGGCATCCATTATCAATGACGCAATTATTACATATTTATTATATCAAAGGGCCTCTACGATTTCTCGATCGCTCTCGCCGTAAATATCTCTGCTCAAAGATGTTGTATAATGAACGTTGTATATAACGTTTTTTTTTTTTACTGTTATTCGTCATTGAGCTAATCGTGAAAGATAAATACGTGGTAGATAAGACTCGTACTCTAATCTTACATTTATTGATCGCCGAGAGAATGAAGTGAGTACAGAAGATTCGTTTGAAATCTTTTAGTTTCCACATGCACACGAGTCTTGTAGCAGATATAAATTTTAAACATGTAAATTACAGTTTTTATATGAATTGATATGTATTTGCTATTTTTGTTTAATTATAAAATTAATTATTGATTTAATTAATTGGATATCAGTGTTCAGTATGATGGCACAAATTCTATATGTAAATACGGAAAATATATAAAGCTTCGAATATTAACGTGGAAATATTATCAACAGCACCTTATTTAATAAATACTGCAAACATAATCAGAAAGATTAAAAAAGCAAGAAGAATTTTAATATGAAAATGTTATAATAGTTATAAATACTGTCGGAATACGTAATTACCCGAAGAAAGATTTATAAATGAAACAGACCTTGAGTTAAATAGAAAAAAAAACCCAACATAGTCATAAATGACACAGAGGGAAATGGCGGAAGGGGGGGGGGGGTAAATAAAAAAGGGCGCGATTGTAAAAGGAATGAGAATATTTATATTTCATAAAATCTACATATAGAATAATAATAATAATATTAATGGCATTCGACATATAACAATATGTTGAAGGCTATTTAATCTTACTTTTACATTTGCTCTTTGTGATTATTTATAGAACTTGTTAAGATTTCTGCGACGTAACTAAAAATTAATTCGAACGTTCGTATGACAATAGATTTTATGTCATTTTAGTATTTCAAAATACGCATATAACAAAGTAAAAAAAAAATTACAACAACGAACAAGAAGATAAAAACATGATTTCAAATTTTAATAGTAAAAAACAAATCGAAAAAATCGATCAATAGGTTTGGTAATGTGTAAATGCAGAGTAATAAAAGGATAATTTACATATTGTAAAATTCGAAGTTCATGGACTATCCGTACAATGTAATCTCTTCCAATACTCCATTCTCTTTAGATGAATTTTGCATTTTTCAAATAATTTTGTCAGTTATCTATTCAATTGAATTGTTGGTATTAGTTTTTTAAAGTTGGTATAATGTTTATTAGAAAAAATAATATGAGAAAATACATTATGAAATTCAAATGCTAATAGAATATCAGTTAATTTATTCACATTTAGTAGATGAATTTCGAACATAGACTCTTCTATTTTAAAATTTTATTATAAACAAATATCTATTATAAAGAAAATATATGAAATAAAATCATAATTAAATAATTAAATTATTCATTATTTATATTATTATTTTTTTTTTTTTTCATTTTGAATCGATTGATACATAATTTCATTAGAAAAGACAATTCAGAGTTCAATTTAATATCCATACATAATTTCTCATGCATTATAGATTGATTTCAAATAATTTTTTGCAATTAATACTAAATGTATGATTGAATGATTAATATCATATTACGTGCAATTAATCACCTACATATCGTTGTATAGAAGATCTATAAATATTGCCAAATATTATATGGTTATAATATTTATTGAAATTCATTGGGGGTTAGTTTGAGATTTTATTATATTCTATTAAAGGATTAAAAGTTTCTATGCGAATTCAATAATGTTTTTTAATTACTCTAATATCTTCTAATACTTTTAACACTTTACCGTAGAAACTTTTAACTTTATTAACTTTTTTATTCAAGGATGAATGTTTATTTTATTTGTTAAATATGTCAAAAGTAAAAAAACTTTAAAATTAATATCAGTATTCATATAATTCAAATTACAATTTTTTTTTTTTTTATAATTTTTTTTTAAAGCTTTGAAGAGAAAATGTCCTGTCTAGTTATAAAGCAAACAGAGATACTTACTACTAAACTTAAATTAACAACTTCTTTCGTTATGTCTAATTGACAGCATAGCCATTTTCGTTTTGCGTTGTGATTAGAAATAATTAATAATGTAGGAAAATAAATATTTCTCTCAATTGTGAACATTTAGCTATAAATTTATGTATAAAATGAACGATAGAGGTTACGTTCGAGTAATGGCGGCGAAAGAACATTAAATATTTATATATTAAAAATAAATATCGTAAATTAGTTTTTCAATACGCATTGCTCGTATTACATTATATTTTGATTTTTAATTGTAATCAAAGACTTTTATCGTACTAGGGCGCTGCACAAGTCTCTTAAGAAATTCAATACTAACTTTTCCCATTAAAATTAATCTTTGTATAATAATTAGTCCGGACCTGAATTTCCGTAAAAAAAAATATGATGTGTCATAAGTAGAAGAACACATTTTCAATAGTTCATCACAGTCATTAACTACGAATAAGAGCAAAAGTTAATCGTCGATTATTAAAAATGTATTATTTATGTACACGTATAGTTAAAAGTTACAATATTGCGTATCACGTTAAACAAATTTTGATTATAAAAACATGCATTCTCTCATATATGTAAATTAATTTTTAAATACAATTATATTATTTAATAATTGTATTAATAATCGAATGTGCCTCTATATTTGTTTGATAAAAATTTTACATTTAATCAGATTACAATCAGCATTGCTTACACTTGTTTTTAAATACGAGATTAATAGTTTTTAGATGCTGTAACTATTCATAAATTCAACAAGCATATATGAAATTATAGTGGTTAATATAATTAATAAATTAGGCATTTATATACTTTGCTTGCGATAAATATGTACGACACTTGTATTGCTCAAAACAATGTACTAATATCCCATTAATTTTTGTATTGTGAAATGTAAAATACGTTATGTCTATCTCAGTCTACCTTTTTTTAACCAATACTTGTTTGTTAGTAAATTATGTCTTTAATGTCATTAATGACTGTCATTAATAATTGTCATTGATTTATAAAATATGTTCTCTTCTTTTTTTTTTTCTTTTTTTCTTTTTTTCTTTTTTTCTT